TATTGTTGTGACTTAGATGACGTTCAGAGCACATTTTATGCCCAATTCATGCAAAACTCCACGTAATCCCAAGGGGTTCACATACTTTTTCTTGCAACTGTATTCAAGCTATAGTTATATAACGGATATGGGCTGAAAGTACACACACTCAGGTTTAATTTGGAGGAAGGTTTTAGGAATTACAGCTCTCAAGAGTAGCCAGCCCCCTTTTTCAAGGAACCTTCAAGTTTGACCCAAAATTTAAAAAAGTGTCCACCTGAGACACCGCAGGATAAAAACTCACTATACTGTGTATCTGTAGAATAAAATGCAGGATTCCCTTATCCAAAGGGACTTCGCCCTGATGAAGTGACATAACGCGAAGGGTACGCCGATGACATCAAGCCGCAAACCGGAAGTGCACGTGCTGCCATTTTGGATAGAGAATCCTGCACTTTATTCTACAGTTACACAGTATAGTGAGTTTTTATCTGGCGGTGTCCCAAGTGGAACAAAACAGTCTTCCTCCCTGTCGGTAATCACCGGGCGCCGGCGGGTAATTACTGGCCAGGACCTAGTGATTGACATATGCGGCCGCAAATGGCGCCGTGGGTAGGGCTCGCGTGCACCCCCTACCCGGAAATGTAAAATCACATATATACACGTGTTTTTGCGCACAGGTGCCGCCCTATAGCAGATATACTGCTGCAGGGCGGCACGTGTGCGCAAAAACACATGTATATATGTGATTTTACATTTCTGGGTAGGGGGTGCACGCGAGCCCTACCTGAGCCGCCATTTGCGGCCACAGATGTCAATCACCAGATTCTTAAGCAGTTAATTAATGAAGAAATGAAGGAGTAGCCCACACCTGGCCATAAAACAGCTTTTGATTCAATTGTCCAATTACTTTTGGTCCCTTGAAAAAGGGGGGGGGTGGCTGCTCTTAAGAGCTGTAATTCCTAAACCCTTTCTCCAATTTGGATGTACATACCCCCAAATTAAACCTGAAAGTGTACGCTTTCAGCCCATATCCATTATATAACTATAGCTTGAATGTGTTTTGGTAAATACCTGAAAAAACTAAAATTGTTCCTGTGTCCAAATATATATGGACCTAACTGTAACTTTCAATTGTTTACCCAAATCTCATGTGAAAATAGATAATGTTTGGTGCTTGCAAGTACAGTGTGAAAAAAAAAAAAAAAAAAAAAAAAGGTATCAAAACTATTAAGCCTTATGCACATGGGCATACTACAAAGCACACCTGTGAGGGTTGTGTTTGTCCATGGGGGATGCACAGATGTTCTGTGCATCCCTGTTCCGGCAGTCCAATTCATGTCAATTAGGGCACAGTGGCTGCACCGATATAGCTGCTGCTCCCAGTTTGACACCCATGTGGGTGATGGTGCATGGCCCCCCGAAAGCAGACAGTGTGAACAAAGCCATAGTGCAACACACAATTGTGGTAGACTGCAAAAATGGCCTATTTTCTGTGTTTGTTAAGGTGTGTTACAATCCATTTATTTTAAATGGGCTGCCTATAAAACTAGGGTTGATTTAAAAATGCTGCAAGGGAGTTTAGCAAGTAAGGTGAAGCTCTTCTGATTTCCATTATCCAACCATGTGCAAAAATATGTTTTTTTTTTTCCATGTGATTGGCTATTCTTTTCACAGTGAATTTTCATCAATCACTAAGCTAAGGGAATATTCCCTTGCAAAATAACCAGCTTCTGGTGTGAATGGGACCTAACTATGTGGTACATGTCTTTTGTAGAGAACAGAGCTGTGGTGGGATCCAGATGATTCTCCCACAAGAGGCTGTCTGCAGAAAATTACATGTGTTTGGATACAAGACCAGTCACCCTTCATAAATAGAGCATAGGTGACTGGTCTTTGGGGTATCAAAAAGCTGGAACTGGGCTTTGCAACACTTCCTGTCCTAAAGACTCAATGGTAAATGTGAGGAAATCTCCCCAAGTGAGGAGATATATGATAGATGCCAACTCCATTAATAGATATTATACATTTTAATTAGAATGTAATAAATATACTAAAATATAATAAATGTTCATAAATAAACATTTATTGCAAAATAAATATATAACAAATATATAAAGGGTTTTTTGTTTTGTTTTTTTTTTTCCAATTCTTTTTGTGTTCTTTATTTGATATAGTAGAAATAAAAGGTCCAGTGGTTATAAAAGATGATCAAAACAAATCTCTATCTGTCTCAAAAAATATATAAAATGAATTTGGTCCACCTGGCCTATAAAGGAATTCTTAACACCTCTGTGGAAGCAAATCTAAAAAGGTAATCACCAGATGATATATGGTCCCTGCTCATCTTTCGAAGTTGTATCCAACTTGTTTTCGAGATGGTCAGTTAATGGGTAGGATATATCATGTCTGGTGGGAGTGTCCGAAACTGCGGGGCTTCTGGAATAGTGTTTGCTTTCATCCGTAAGGTCACTAGGACCCCAGTCCCTTAGTCGCCTTGAATTGTACTATTGAATAAGCTGGTGGATGACCTGCCTCGCTCGACAAGGAAGCTGATCTTTTTTATGATTCTAGCAGCCAAGCTCACGATAGCTCGCTTGTGGAAAAAAACCTTTGGTCTTTATGCCAATGTATAGGTCTCCTGGTTAATGTTGAAACAACTTACTAGTTTGATCACTGAAACGGTCAAGCAATTTAAGGCAACTTGGGAACTTTGAAGGCAAGAGAGGAAATATTACAGATCAACATGAACATATTTTGCCCAGACGGGAACCAAGCCTAGCTTCCTCCTCCAGATTTCCACCCCCTTCCTTTCCTTTTTCTCTTTTTTTCCCCTTTCTTTTGTTTTCTGTTTCTTCATCTCTTGGTCTTCTTGGACTATACTATTTAGCTCTGAGGGACAGTGCCAGGCTATGCGTAGAGACCTCGGCTTGGGCTCCATTGCCAGGACCACAGCTATCCCTGCCAAGTACTTCTCATGTAGGAGGTCCCTGACATGTTAATGTATCATTTCTTTGATCTGACTGTCCATGTCAGATTGCCATTTTTTATTCTTTTCCTTCTGTATGTGTACCAGAATCCTGGCCCCACACAACTGTAACCTTAATTAATGTACCATATTCTGGTCTCACTGAATGGTTTTCTTTCTACTTTTTAATTAAACATTACATTTAAAATAGAGTGAAAGTAAAAAAAAAATTAATTTGGGTAAAGTGTTGCATGACTGAGTAACTGCCAAATTATTACAGTACTGAAAACTAAATAATTGCAAGGAAAGGAAGGGGTATACCATGCTGGCACGAAGGTAAAGAATATAATTTTTACAAGCTGGTTAACGTAAAAAAGGCCCAGTTGTGGATACATGCACTCTTCCAAGAAAAAAATTTTTTCTAGCAATACACACCAAACTAAGCATGTGCAAAATGCTTTTGGTTCAGTCTGTCTTATCAGGAGATAAAAGGTGGTCGCTTGAAAAAGGGAGGAACAGAAAAGAAAGGATCAAACGGCCTTTTTACACAATGTAGAGGATTAACCCCTTATGCTCCACAGTGAGTATAACAAGCATGCTTTACTGCATATACAGGCTGATTTTACTGTTGTGGGTTTAGTAACACTAAATGTTTTTCAGCAAGCATCTGACTTTTACTCATTTCATGGAAAAAACTAACAGCTACCATTATACCGATTCCCTTACCTCCCATGGCAACTTCTGCAAAGCAACAGGCTACATAGACATGTTAAAGAAATGTCAAATGTCTTGGCTTCTGCACAAATATATGAACCTTTTCAAACACAGCTGTGAATGTTAACAGTAGATCATTCACTTTAATGCACCTAATTTGGTGTTCTTGGGGAGAGGGGAGGTAGTGGTCCTTTAAACTGTATAAAACATACCATGTTTGGTATTATGTTCTTGTTATGTAATAAAATGAAATGGGATGCATAGATTTTTGTATGCTTCATTTCTCCTCTGAGGAGCAACAATATAAATCGACTGAGCTTCTGACCTTCAGCATTTGCCTGGCTTTTGAAGCTGGGGACTAGCAAGCCGATTCTTGACATGCAGTCTGAGCAATAATCACAGAAGATTTACTTAACCCATCAAGTAACAGACTGCGCACATAGAGTAGTTACTGTTCCTGCATTTCAATAAGCTCACTCCGCTATGTGCACAGACTTTCATTTAGACTTTACAGATATCCATTGGTAATTGTATAGCATTGTTCCTTAATTATAGGGTACAACTTTTTTCATCTGGTAAACATAACAGAATATATTCTAAGCCATTATGTAATTATCATGCAGCTTGGGGAAAAATATGGACGCTTGTACAGTTTAATACCATTTTCTCTATGAAATATAGACATTAGTGCAAACTGCAGGTGCTCACTATCCATGCAATACAAAATGCCCATATATCTGAATTGTAATTGACAAGCACAAAACAAACCGTGCTTGGTAATAGCAGTTATAGTCATTACATACTGTATAGTAAAACGTGATATACTGTATTGCTACATAACTAAACACATGCAAAAAAAATAACAGATGTACAATAGCATACAAACGATCTACCCCCCAGTGAGCCTTAGATTGGATGGCACAGTATGCAAACTTTTCTTAGGGGTTCCACACATAAAGTACAGGCAGCAGCGTAGTTCTGTGCAGAAGTAATCTGACCTCAGGCTAACATAACACACCCCTAAAGGGTGTGTCCATGACGGCCGGGCTCACAGGAAGTATTCCAGTACTGTCCCTACAGTAATCAAACATTTCATGAGTGGGTGTGAAAGTGAACAAACAATGGATGGTGCCATCTTCAAACAAAAAATTAGTGTGGGAAAGCATTATGATGCACCATGGTGATTACACTCAGAAGCCCATCCTGCACAGCAATTTTCTAGTTCGAGGGACGATAATCTATACACCAGCAAAATAAGAGTGATCATCATCAGGGCAAGTTAACTACCGTATTTTTCGCTCCATAAGACGCCCTTTTTTCCCCCAAAAAAAGGGGGGAAAATGTCAGTGCGTCTTATGGAGCGAATATGGAGCGGCCGGTCCGGTATTTCCACCGCGGCCGTGTCAGAATACCGGGCCGGCCGCTCAGCTCTGCAGCGGGACCTTATGGAGATGACTGCTGACCTTTGGGGAAGTGGGGAGCGGGTACCTGAATTTGACAGGTACCCGCTCTTACTTCTTTGTTCTTTGATCATACCTGTTCCTCTATCGAGCGGCGCGCTGTCTTCAAGCTTCTGTAGTGTGGGCACTGGGCATGACAGCCGGGTGCCAAGTGCGCATGCGCAAGAAGCGGTGCTTTTTGTGAATGGTAAGGCAGTACCTGGGACACATGACAGATCCCAGAAGCCATCGGACCAATCACAAAGCGCAAGTGCTTCTCGCTCATGCGCACTGGGCACCCGGCTGTCATGCCGAGCGCCATTACAGAAGCCGGGAAGACAGCGCGCGGCTGGATCGAGGAACAGGTAAGATCAAACAAAAACTCTGCGGAAGTAAGAGCGGGTACCTGTCAAATTCAGGTACCCGCTCCCCACCTCCCCAAAGGTCAGCAGTCATCTGTACTGTCCGCAGTCTCTGTCATCCCTGTGCTGTCCGCAGTCTCTGGTCATCCCTGTGCTGTCCGCAGTCTCTGGTCATCCCTGTGCTGTCCGCAGTCTCTGGTCATCTCCTGTACTGTGTCTGCAGTCCATTAGTTCAGAATTTTTTTTTTCCTGTTTTCTGCCTCTAAAACCTAGGTGCGTCTTATGGTCAGGTGCGTCTAATGGAGCGAAAAATACGGTATACTGTTAAAGGATAAGTTTACCTCCTGAAGACAAGCACTGCAGCTGTCAACTCATACCTTTATATGGGCTGACTGTTTACAAGCTGCAGGGCTTGTGAATGAACTATGAGGTCTCTCCTAAGCGACCCAGCAGTCCATTCAGAACTACTGTACAAGCTGCAATGGCTGACTGTAGTTGTAGTTCATGTATTCACAGGAAACTTTTTCAAATAGTGGCAGCAGGTGCACGTGTGACGATTGTGTGCAATAGAGACATAGGAGCTGTATGCGACAGCCATCTTGTTAAGGTCTCAACCATGTTGTCTTTCATTTACAATCATCTCTCCTTTCCTCCCTCTAGAAAATGGAATTTGTAGCTGTAAGTTGTAACAAAACTTCAAAAAGAGCCTCTTATCTTAAATGGAACACAGATAGATGAAGCTCCAAGAACTGTAAACCGTTAATAAGGCTTGGCAGGATGTCTACATGGCAGAGACACTTTCCTCTGCCCGATCGTAAAACAATAACTCAGTCAGCCGTCACACACATGACCGGTTAGGCATTAGGGCTCTAGGAATGCAGAGCGTGCCATAAAAATGTTTTTTTCACATGTAACCATTTTGCACATTTAGTTCATAAAAATCAACAGGAACTGGGCACATTAATATTAGGTATATATTTTGGAGAGCTAATTTCATGTTGAGGCAAACAAGGTCATACATGACTATGTTAGAACATAGGAGAGAGGAGAAAGCAGTCTCTTCCCTCCTGGGTGACAAGGGTATGCTGTATTTGGTATCCCTGGGTTTGAAATATAATTCTGAATAGTAATCTGACAGTTGCTAGAATGCCACCTGCACCTATTGGAGGTTTTTAACCTTAGTATGAAATTGTAAGGTGACCTGGTCATAACCTTGGTGATCTCCTAGACCCCATCCTCAAACTGGATGATTAATCAATATTTCTCAGGCGACACCTCTTTAATATCATAGAAAATGACTGACAGGCCTGGAGAAAAGAGAGCTCTCGTTTAACAACAATCAAGAAACCTCTTAACGGACTTGAGAGCCAAGGCAGCCTTTTTGCTCGGACAATTGGACTCTGCTTAAACCAAGGACTTTGCAAGTATTCTGCCTTCTTAACTCCTTTCTTTTATTTCTCTGTTGAATTACTGTTCTCTTTATGTCTTTGAAACATCTTTTTCTGTAAATATTTTAATTGCACCGATGTGATGTTTTAATATTGTTTAAAGAACAATAGTACAGAAAATATTTACACAAAAAAAATTACAAAACAGACATAAGCAACAGTAAACTAAAAATAAAAATAGTGAGCTCTAAGAGAAAAAAAGAGCTTCTAGCACTTAAGAGTAAACCAACCCCAAAAAAACTAGTATAATGATAGTTCAGTGGTAAAAAGAATAAAATCCAGTTATAGATATTAACATATAGCTGTGACTTAAAATGTATATAACTTAAAACAGTTGTCAGTGAACAATACACCCAATATAGTGACTAAAGTGCCATGTGCAAAATACAGTTGTGTCCAAAATTATTCAACCCCCATGCTGTAAAGGGGTTTAGGGACTATAGTGTACATTTGGAATTGTATTCAGAATCAAATCCTACAAGGACGTTGTAACTACCCAAATGCAACTAAAATGACATCAATTGTTTATGTAATACAGTAGTAAATGGTTCTTATGTGGTTTCTTCATTGCCACAATTATTCAACCCCTTAAAGACTACCACTCTGAAGAACAGAGGTTCATACAGGTGCTTTCCATCAGGTATTGAAAACACCTGTGGATGTCACCGAGCAGCAATCAAGCATAATAAGCACCAATTAGGCAGCTTTAAAATGACTGTGATACTCAGCTCCTTCTAGACATTTACTGTGTGGTTACAAACATGGTGAAGGCAAGAGAATGGTCCAGGAAGACAAGAGAAGAGGTGATTTCTCTTCACAGGAAGGGCAATGGCTATAAGAAGATTGCAAAGATGTTAAACATACCAAGAGACACCTTAGGAAGCATCATTCGCAAATTCAAGGCAAAGGGCACTGTTGAAACGCTACCTGGTCGTGGCAGAAAGAAGATGCTGACTTCGACTGCTGTGCGCTACCTGAAGCGTAGAGTGGAGAGAAGTCCCCGTGTGACTGCTGAGGAACTGAGAAAAGATTTGTCAGATGTGGGTACAGAAGTTTCAGCCCAGACAATAAGACGCACACTGCGTAATGAAGGCCTCCGTGCCAGAACTCCCAGGCGTACCCCCTTGCTGTCTCCAAAGAATAAGAAGAGTCGACTGCAGTATGCCAAAAGCCATGTGGACAAACCACAAAAGTTGTGGGATAGTGTTCTGTGGACTGATGAAACAAAATTAGAACTGTTTGGGCCCATGGATCAACGCTATGTTTGGAGGAGGAAGAACAAGGCCTATGATGAAAAGAACACCTTGCCTACTGTGAAGCATGGTGGAGGGTCAATCATGCTTTGGGGCTGTTTTGCTTCTGCAGGTACAGGGAAGCTTCAGCGTGTGCAAGGTACCATGAATTCTCTTCAGTACCAGGAGATATTGGATGGAAACGTGATGCAGTCCGTCACACACCTGAGGCTTGGGAGACGTTGGACCTTTCAACAGGACAATGATCCCAAGCATACCTCCAAGTCCACTAGAGCATGGTTGCAGAGGAAAGGCTGGAACATTTTGGAGTGGCCATCGCAGTCACCAGACTTAAATCCGATTGAGAACCTCTGGTGGGACTTAAAGAAAGCAGTTGCAGTGCGCAAGCCTAAGAATGTGACTGAACTGGAGGCCTTTGCCCATGAAGAATGGGCGAAGATACCCGTAGATCGCTGCAAGACACTTGTGTCAAGCTATGCTTCACGTTTAAAAGCTGTTATAACTGTAAAAGGATGCTGTACTAAGTACTAAGATTGAATGTCACTTGGGGGTTGAATAAAACTGATAATGCTGTGAGCACAGAAAAGACATTTGTGGTTATTTCATTATAACTGTTATGTTATATTTGTCTGACCTACAAGTGCCTCTTTAATGTAAATGTAAGCAAGATGACTGAATGATCAAAAGCAATGTCAAACTGGCCAAAACACTCAATTTCAGTGGGGGTTGAATAATTTTGGACACAACTGTAAGTAACCAAATATACATCATTCATAAGGTGATTGAATAAATAATAGCTAATAAAAATCAGCCCATAAACAATATTATAACTTGATGGGCATATGGACAGTCCAATCAAATTCACTTCAAACTTGGCTGTACGATTCCAAAAAGTGCAAATCTTCAGTGTAATCCATCACCACATAGCACTCACCAGAAACTAGAGCAAATGAAGCATAATCATACTGTTGCCAGGAAAAAAAACAAGACATCTCTTGGTGTTTCTTTAGTTGGGAATACAGTCCATCGGTCAGGATAGGAATGCAGACCCCTATGTTCTGGAAGATCATGTGGACATCTGATGTGGTCACCTGATCAAGAATTCAACTGTATAAGCCATTTAAACCTGCCATAGTATGTCAATCAACAAAGATTATCCAAAATGATCCATGCGTGAGATGTCTGTACTATCATTTTATAATCTTGTTTATGGACTGATTTTTATTTGCTATTATTTATTCAGTCACCTTATGAATTATGCAGACTTGGTTACTTATTCTGCACTTTAGTCACTATATTGGGTGTATTACTCATGCACAGTTATATACATTTTATGTCACAGTTCTATATTAATATCTATATTTGGATTTTATTTCTTTTAGCGCTGCAGTACTAGTAAACTAAAAATGCTTAAGCAAATTTCGCCTAGTCTTTGGTTCTATGCAGAGTCTGATTCACTTGCAGAGTAAGCCCAGAGTACCGTATATACTCGAGTATAAGCCGAGTTTTTCATCACATTTTTTGTGCTGAAAAAAACGCCCCCCTCGGCTTATACTCGAGTCAACGTCTGCAGGGGGCTGCTGTCTCTTACCTGGCTCCGGTCCCACGACGATCCAGTCCAGGAAGCGCGGCTGCTCCTTCATTCGGTTCGTCCACTGGATGTTCACGCGGCTGCTCGGCTCCGCCTTCTCACCGGTGATTGGCCGCCAGAACTGTAGCTCAGGAAAGGCACACAGGCGGCCAATCACCGGCGAGGAGGCGGAGCTGAGCGGCCCCGCAAAAATCGAGTGAAGGAGATGCAGGTAAGTGTGCCGTGCTTAGGTGCTGCTGCAACCACATATGCTGGCTGCAGCAGCACCATACTGGAACAGGGGTCAGCAAGTGTCAGTGGTAGGAATAGTGCCCCATCATTGGTGTCACTCATACCAATGATGGGGCATTATTCCTCCCACTGACACCAACAATGGGGCACTTTTCCTCCCCCCCACTGACAACAACGATTGGGCACTATTCCTCCCCCCCCCCCCCCCCCCCCCCACTGACACCAATGATGGGGCACTATTCCACCCCCCACTGACACCAATCCTGGAGCACTATTCCACCCCCCACTGACACCAATCATGGGATACTATTCCTCCTCCCCACTGACACCAACGATGGGGCACTTTTCCTCCCCCCCCCACTGACACCAACGATGGGGCACTATTCCTCCACCCCCCCCACTGACACCAATGATGGGATACTATTCCTCCCACTGACACCAATGTTGGGACACTATTCCTCCCACTGACACCAATGATGGGACACTATTCCTCCCACTGACACCAAAGATGGGGCACCATTCCACTGACACCAATAATGGGGTGCTATCCCCCCCACTGATACTAATGATGGGGCACTATTCCTGCCACTGATACCAATGATGGGGCACTATTCCTCCCACTGACACCAATGATGGGGCACTATTCCTCCC